ATGCGCGCATCTTTAACACCCAGCACCCAGCGGCCGTCACTTCGACGCGGAGCTGCGATATGGTTTCTACCACGCTGCAACCATTGAACGCTGCTGACACGATCGCCGACAATCAGTTTGGCTGCGGCAGAGCGGCGTGCGTAGTTGTTGACCACAACTTTCTTGAGTCGATAGTTGTTCAGGTTCAAGTTGCTGTGGCGGTTCACCAGCCGGCGTAGATGAACGCGATCATCGCCTCGGATCGCAACCGGAATATCCAGTCGGATTACATCTCTGTGCGCATGCTTGTTTTCCCTGCCGTGTTTGAATTTGTTTGTATAACCTTTTTTGTAGTCGCGCTCGTATTGATTGTAGTAATGCTTCTCGTGTTGCTCACTGTGGGCCTTGGCTTTTTTGCCTTGCCAGTTGTTTTCTCCGGCAATCGCTGGAGCGGTGGCCGTAAGGGCGCTGATGAGCAGTGTGGTTGTGAGTACAGTTTTCATGTCTTCTCCTGAGTCATACCGTTAGGGTGAAGTCACGATAGCGCTGTAAGACTGAATGATGAGTGAACTGAAACTATATGGACGCTGAACAGATCAAGTGTTCACAGGGCGGTGTATAAGGTCATCCATGACCGGTTAAAACATCCCTTTGCATTAAGTTTAGAGCAGATATCTGATTTGTCGAAAATTCCTTTTCCAACAGCGTAGTTACTGGTTAGAGCTGTTGCAGTGCCTGGCGAATGGGTTCTGCGTAGGGTTCTGGAGAAACCGCTCCCAGTTCAATGCGCTCGCAATCCTGAAAGTCGGCAAAGTTTTTTACAGCGGTGGCAAAGGCCTGGCCTGTTTCGGCAGGGTCCAGTTTCGGGTTGCAGAACTGCACAGCTTTAACCTCAAGACGCTTGTCCTTGCGGTGTGCTTTGCAGTCCACCTGCCCGATAAACTGATCGCGGTACAGTAACGGCAGGCCGAAGTAGCCAAACTTTCTTTTTGCAGCGGGTACGTAACATTCAATCTGATAGTCAAAGTCAAAAATGGACTTCAGACGTTCGCGTTGTATCAGGACATTGTCGAAAGGTGACAGAATTGTGATTGCGCGGCTGAACCTGGGTGTTGGTGCGTCCATAACATGAGGGTGGCTGAAGAAAACTTCGCCGCTGTTTAATACCAGCTGATCGAGATCGCCGGCGTGTAACTTTTTTTCGATGTGACGTTTGACAGCTTGTCGCAGAGCGGGGTTGCGACGCTGATAGGTTAATCCTTTCAGGGAGACCAGCGCATGGCTACGCAGCTGCTGTGCAACAACATGTTCTGCAAATTCATCCATGTCGGGTGTGGTGGTGTCAATGTGCCGCGGCAGCACCCGCTCAGGCAGGTCATAGGTTTTCTGAAATCCCTCACGGGCGGCCACCATTAACTCTCCCTGCATGTACAACTGTTCCAGAGCGCGTTTCGCTGGTTTCCAGTCCCACCATCCCTGACGGCTGGTCTTGGTGTCTTCAAGGTCTCGTGAGCGCAGCGGGCCTTCGGTTGCGATCTGCTGCTTGAGCTTGCTCATCAGTTTTGTGTCGGGATTTTTGAACCAGTGAATTTTACCGTTGGTAATAGCCTGCTTGTAGGGCAGAGAAAATCGATAGTCCTCTATCGGTAGAAACGCTGCTGCGTGGTGCCAGTACTCGAATATGTCCCGGTGCTGCAACAGTTGTTCAGTCATGGCAGTGCTGAAATTGGGCACACGGGAGCGAAACACATGGTGATGGGCACGCTCCACCACGCTGATGGTGTCGATCTGCACATAACCCAGGTGACCGATAGACTGGCGCGCACCATCCAGTCCTCTGCCGAAAGCTGCATTCTGGTGCAAACCCTGTGCGGCCAGAGCGAGGCGTCTGAGTCTGGTGTAATCCGCTCTGCCGGTTATGTTAATTGTTGTCATAGGGTAGGCCGACCTTGCTGGTGTCGGCGGCATTCGTCACAATCCAGGTTGCTGTCACTATACGTAGATCAAGGAAGTTCATGAAGTCGCTGTGCTTTAGTGTTGTTGTTGCTGTTTTTCTTATAACCAGCCCGCATACGTTTGCTGCTACCGGCGCGCCGGTGTTCAGTGAGAAAGGCATGGTAGCCAGCCGTTCCGAATGGGCCTCTCAGGTCGGCGCTGACATCATGGCAGCAGGGGGTAATGCTATTGATGCGGCGGTTGCCACAGGTTTTGCGCTGGCTGTGACCTATCCGTCAGCGGGTAACCTCGGCGGCGGCGGTTTCATGGTTATCCATCTTGCTGATGGCACAGTAGTGACGAATGACCACCGTGAACGTGCGCCGCTGGCTGCCACCAAAGATATGTTTCTTGACGAGCAGGGTGAGGTCATTAAAGGGTTATCGACGGCATCACACCTGGCGGTCGGGGTGCCCGGTAGTGTCGACGGCCTGCTGGCGGTGCTGGAGAAGTATGGTTCGATGACCCGTGCAGAGGTTATCGAACCCGCCATCAGGCTGGCGCGCAAGGGCATACGCCTGGATCAGGACCTTGCCGGCAGCTTTACCCGCCGGCAGAAAGATTTTGCCCGTTATCCCGCCAGCATGGCTGTCTTCGGTAACGATGGGGAGCCCTGGCGTGTTGGGGAAGTGTTCAAGCAGAGTGACCTGGCTGATACGCTGGAGCGGATCAAAAAACACGGTCGCGAAGGTTTCTATGCCGGCAAAACAGCTGATCTGCTGGTTGCAGAAATGCAGGCCAACGGCGGTCTGATCACCCATGAAGATCTTAAGAGCTACCGCTCTGTCTGGCGTGAGCCTGTGCGGGGGACCTACCGGGGGCATGATATTGTCTCCATGCCACCACCCTCGTCGGGTGGTGTGCTGGTGGTGCAGATGCTGAATATGCTTGAGAGCCAGGATATTAAGGGCAACGGATTTGGCAGCGCCGCCAGCATTCACGCGATGATTGAAGCAGAACGGCGGGCCTATGCAGACCGCGCTGAATATCTGGGTGATCCGGACTTTTATCCGGTGCCGGTAAAAACCTTAACCAGCAAGAGTTATGCGGCTCAGCGCTTTGCTGATTTCAATCCTAAACAAGCCAGTCTCAGTAGTGATATCGGCGCGGGTGTGATCCTGGTGGAAAGCCCGGAAACAACTCATGCTTCTTTTATCGACGCGGCGGGTAATGCGGTGGCTTACACCACCACCCTGAATCTGTCTTACGGCGCCAAAATGGTGGCGGCTGGCACCGGGGTTCTGCTCAATAACGAAATGGATGATTTCTCTGCAAAAGAAGACACGCCGAATTTTTATGGTCTGCTGGGTCGGCGTGCTAACGCCATTGAGCCAGGCAAGCGCATGTTGAGCTCCATGACACCGACCATAGTCCTCAAAGATGGTAAGCCTCTGCTGGTCACCGGCTCGCCTGGCGGCAGCACCATCATCACCACAACACTGCAGGTGATCCTCAATGTGGTTGATCACGGCATGGATGTCGCGGACGCTGTCGGCAGCCCACGTTTTCATCATCAATGGCAGCCACCTCGGGTGGTTGTGGAGCAGCGTGGTTTTTCACCCGACACTCAAAGTCTGTTGGAAGCCATGGGGCATACTGAGCTGGTGCCCATTCCCAGTTTCCTCGGCCGCGGAATTGGCGATGCCAACTCCGTAATGATGGACGAGAAAGGGCTCTATGGCGCCGCCGATCCGCGTAATGCAGGGGCCGCAATTGGAGTGCCACCAAGCCTCTGATAAATATAGCCATTTGCGTTATGCTGACCCGGTCTTGCGCTGAAACTGGGGAGAGTTTATGCGTGAAAAATTCTGGCTCGATCTCTGGCAGAAAAACGAAATTGGTTTCCATCAGCCGGCGCATAACGAGCTGCTGCTGCAATACTGGTCTGAACTGGCGTTGCCGCCAGGTGCTGAGGTTTTTGTGCCGATGTGCGGCAAGTCGCTGGATATGCGCTGGTTTGAAACGCAAGGTTATCCGGTTGTTGGCGTAGAGCTGGCCCGCCTGGCTGTTGCCGGTTTTTTTGCTGAGGGTAACGAAACTCCGGAAGTGGGCGCGGTAGAGCGGTTTGAGCGCTCAATCGGTCGCGGCGCGACGATCTATCAAGGCGATTTTTTTGATCTCACAGCGCCGCTGTTGAGTAACGTCCAGGGTCTGTTTGATCGCGGTGCTCTGGTGGCGCTGCCGCCGGACATGCGCTTTCGCTATGTTGATCACCTGCTGCGGATCGTGCCCGATGGCACGCGTATGTTGTTGATTACCTTCGAATACGATCAGGATCTGGTATCAGGCCCGCCACATGCGGTGGACTTTGATGAAGTTGAATCTCTGTATGGTGGGCGCTGCGAAGTGGAGTTGTTGGACACGTTTGTGACCAGTTCTCTGCCGAAACGTTTTGCAGACAGCCGGGTGCCTCAGGCGGCCGAAAGTGTATATCGCATTGTCAAGGAAGAGTAGCCGCCCGCTCTGGCTTACTCCATCTTGCCGTAGTCCACTGCCAGCCAACGCTTCGGCGTGATAGATACAGTGATCTGACCCTGGACACCGCTGTTGTCTGCGTAAGCTTTGCCTTGGCTTTCTCCCAGATAACGTATGGCCATTGCGGTCAGAGATGCCATGTCAGCCGGTTCAATGGCAGTCACTTCACCTTCGATGCTGACGTATTTATACGGCAGGCTTTCCGCTTGTGCCGCCAGGCTGACGCGACTGCCCAACTGCAGAAGCTTGCCTTTGCGCGAGCTGCTGCCAGTAATCACCTGGACGTCTCCACCGGGCACATAGCTGTACCAGATCGGTACGGTTAAAGGTCCTCGGTCGTGTTCGTTGATGCCGATTACACCGACGTGCAGGTCGGCAAGAAATTGCTGTTTTTCTTCTGAGGTCATGGTGGTCATGGGAGCTCCTGGTGGCTTATCTCAAGTCCGAATAAAAGGTCATTGGGCCTAACTGATTTATTTCAAGATCTTGGAAGTGCGATGAACACCACCATAAATCCGGTGTGGGTAAATGTTGATACAAAGGAGTAAATCATGAACCTAGTACGATGGACACCATTTGGCGAGTTTGATCATCTGGTCCGTTCTCTGGAGCAGTCGCGTTCACCTGTGCGCCGCGCTGATTGGTTACCGTTGGTGGATATCCGCGAATCTGTGGAAAGCTATCATATTGATGTGGAAGTGCCTGCGGTGGCAGCGGAAGACCTGTCTGTAACGGTCGCCGAAGGCGTGTTGAATGTGAGTGGAGAACGACGTTCAGCAGTGTCTGATGAGGATAACCGCACACACCGCACTGAACGCCGCTATGGTCGCTTCGAACGCAGTTTCAGTCTGCCCGAGGATGCGGATCCAGAAGCGATTTCTGCCGAAAGCCGAGATGGCGTGCTCTATCTGAGTATTGCTAAACGTGCACCCGAAGTCGCGAAGAAGATAGATGTGAAGGTCAGCTGACAACGCGCTAAACTGATCCTGCGATAACGCAACAGCGACGCCGCCAGGGTTAAACCGGCGGCGTTTTGCTTGTCTGTTAGGACATCGAACGGTAGCTGCAGACTGACTCTGGCGAGCGCATATGGTTTGGACAAAAGACTCAGTACGTACGGTTATCTTTGAGGCGGGCACCCCTGCTGGCAAAGCCTTTGATATGGCTGTCATTGTGCTGATTCTGTTGAGTGTTGGCGCCATCATGCTTGACAGCGTTGACGCAATTAACGCTGTTTATGGCGACTGGTTGTACGTTGCAGAATGGGTGTTCACGCTGCTCTTTACAGTGGAATATGCATTACGTCTGTGGTGCATCCAGAACACCTGGCGCTACGCCCGTAGTTTTTACGGCGTTATCGATCTCATCTGTATATTGCCCACCTATCTGAGCTTGTGGTTCGCCGGGTCGCAGTATTTTCTGGTCATCCGGGTGCTGCGGGTTTTGCGTATTTTCCGTGTGTTGCGCATGGTGCGCTATGTCGGTGAGGCCGAGCTGATTACCCAGGCGCTGGTGGCATCCCGCCGTAAGATCACAGTGTTTGTCGCCTCTGTGCTCTGCCTGGTCGTGATATTCGGTTCTTTTATGTACCTTATTGAAGGAGGCAGGGGCGGCGGGTTCAGCAGTATTCCCAATAGTATCTATTGGGCTGTTTCCACCATGACCACTGTTGGCTATGGAGATATCACGCCGCAAACCCCATTGGGCAGGGCTCTGGCGACGGTGATTATGATTATGGGTTACGGCATTATTGCGGTGCCGACAGGCATCGTCACCCTGGAGCTCAACGAAGCCAATCGCCGGGCAGCCAATACCCGCACCTGTCCACACTGTTCCGCTGAAGGCCATCTGCGTGAAGCATCTTACTGCTGGCGATGTGGGGAACACCTGTACCGCGAATCAGCAACCAACTGATTTAGAACACGTCTGCGGAAAAGCAGTTGGGCGCGGCGGCACTTTCAGGCAAAATACGCCCCCAATTTCCATCATCAACTGCGACATCTATGAGCCTGAACACTTTTAACGCCAAGAAGACGCTGAGCGTCGGCAACAAACAATACGAATATTACAGCCTGCCAGAGGCGCAAGGGTTGGGGGACATCAGTCGCCTGCCAGTGACGCTGAAAATTCTGCTGGAAAACCTGCTGCGCTTTGAAGACGACAATACGGTCAAAGCTGCGGACATCAAAGCGCTGGCTGGCTGGGCGGATAATGCGCCTGCTGCTGAAGAAATTGCTTTTCGTCCTGCGCGGGTGCTGATGCAGGACTTCACCGGCGTTCCGGGTGTTGCAGACCTTGCAGCCATGCGCTCTGCGGTAGTTGATGCGGGTTTAGACCCAAACATCATCAACCCGTTGTCACCGGTAGACCTGGTCATCGACCACTCGGTGATGGTGGACAAATTTGGTACCGATGAATCCTTCGACGAAAATGTCGCGCTCGAAATGCAGCGTAACGGTGAGCGTTATCGCTTCCTGCGCTGGGGTCAGACAGCATTTGAAAATTTCAGCGTCGTCCCGCCGGGTACCGGCATCTGCCACCAGGTGAATCTGGAATATCTGGCAAAAGCAGTCTGGACCAAAGAAGAAGACGGCAAAACGGTAGCTTACCCGGATACATTGGTCGGCACCGACAGTCACACCACCATGATCAACGGGCTGGGTGTGCTCGGCTGGGGTGTGGGTGGTATTGAGGCTGAAGCCGCTATGTTGGGTCAGCCGATCAGCATGCTCATACCCGAAGTGGTTGGGTTTAAACTGACTGGCTCTGTCGGCGAAGGGATTACCGCAACAGATGTGGTACTGGTTGTCGTGGAAATGCTGCGAGCCAAAGGTGTCGTGGGCAAATTTGTCGAGTTTTATGGTGCAGGTCTGGACAATCTGTCCCTTGCAGATCAGGCCACCATTGCCAATATGGCGCCTGAATATGGCGCGACCTGTGGCTTCTTCCCGATTGATTCAGAAACCCTCAATTACCTGCGCCTGACCAATCGCGACCCGGATACGGTTGCGCTGGTTGAAGCCTATTGCAAAGCTCAGGGTATTTTCCGCGATGAAAACACCGTGGATCCAGTCTACACAGACACCCTGGAACTGGATCTGTCGACGGTTGTACCAAGTCTTGCAGGACCCAAGCGTCCCCAGGATCGCGTGGCTATGACAGATTTGAAGCGTGCGTTCTCCGAAGCGTTGGAATTGTACGGACGACAGAAGCCTGCCAGTGTCGATGTGCCCGGTGAAGACTATAAGCTTACCGACGGCGATGTGGTTATTGCCGCAATCACGTCCTGCACCAACACTTCTAACCCTGCAGTAATGCTTGGCGCAGGCCTGGTTGCTCAGAAAGCGCTGGCCAAAGGACTGAAAGTTAAGCCCTGGGTGAAAACCTCGCTGGCACCGGGATCAAAAGTGGTCACAGAATATCTGGAAGCGACCAATCTGCAGGAAGCGCTGGACGATCTTGGCTTTAACCTCGTAGGTTATGGTTGCACAACGTGTATTGGTAACTCAGGACCGCTGCCGGAACACATTTCCAGTGCAATTGAATCCAATGACCTGGTTGTTGCATCGGTACTGTCAGGTAATCGTAACTTTGAAGGTCGTGTGCACCAGGAAGTGCGCACCAACTGGCTGGCCTCACCGCCGCTGGTTGTGGCATACGCGCTGGCCGGCACCACCTCGATTGACCTCAGCAGTGAGCCTATCGGTCAGGACCAGAATGGTAATGATGTGATGCTGGCTGACATCTGGCCAAGCAATCAGGAGATTCGTGACGTTGTCGATCAGGTTTCAGTGGCTATGTTTGATCGTCAGTACGCTGACGTTTTCACTGGCCCTCCTGCATGGCAGGCGATAGAAGTGGATTCAGGCGGCACTTACGGCTGGGAAGATTCAACCTACATCAAACAGCCTCCGTTTTTTGCAGTCGGTGGCGATCAGACGCAGTCGATTGGCGTCAATGGCGCTCGTATCCTTGCCGTGCTGGGCGATTCAGTAACCACGGACCATATTTCACCTGCAGGTGCCATTCAGCCGGATAGTCCGGCCGGGCATTATCTGCAGCAGGCAGGGGTGGATGTGAAAGAGTTCAACTCCTATGGATCGCGACGTGGTAACCACGAAGTCATGATGCGCGGTACTTTTGCGAACATTCGTATTCGCAACGAAATGGTGCCCAGTCTTGAAGGCGGTTACACCAAACATATCCCATCTGGCGATGAAATCAGCATCTATGATGCTGCCGTTCGATATGCCGGAGAAGGCACACCACTGGTTGTGATTGGCGGTAAAGAGTACGGTACCGGTTCAAGCCGTGACTGGGCAGCAAAAGGCACCCGTCTGTTGGGTGTTAAAGCGGTACTGGTGGAAAGCTTTGAGCGTATCCACCGCTCTAACCTGATTGGTATGGGTGTGCTGCCTCTGCAATTCAAAGCCGGAGACAGTCGTCAGAGCTTAGGCCTGACCGGCGATGAAATCATAGATGTGCAGTTACCTGATGGTGCAACTGAAACCCCTCGTCAGGAAATAAAGGTTGTCATCCATCGTGCTGATGGCAGCGAACAGACCGTCATGGTAGACAGCCGCCTCGATACGGATAACGAGATTGCATACTACAAAAGCGGTGGCATTCTGCAGTACGTGCTGAACAATCTGGTGGCTGCAGCAGCTTAGTCAGATTTGCGCAAGCGGCACCGCGCAACGCGGTGTCGCTCCTTCAGTGTTTCATTCAAAATTTCTTTATTCTTCAGTAGCTTTACGCTCAAAGCTTGTATACGATGCGCGCCGCTTCGATGATGACCATCGGGTGTGACAGAGTGCACAGGTGTGCGGCTTTGTTAAACAAAGTGTGACGTAGTAACAAGGGTCAACACCCGAGTTTCGTTTATCGTTCTGTAATAGAAGTCCCTGCCGAGAGAGACAGATCGTGATTAACAGAAATGAATCCCGCCTAATTGCTCAGGAAAGACGCAATCAGGCGGCCAGCCAGGCTCGCCAGAAGCAGAGCCGTCGTAAGCCTGCCACTAGCCCCCGACGGGCGAAATCAAGCGCTGCATAACCAGCCTGGGGCAAAACCCCGGTTAAGGAAGATGCCTGTCTGGATATCTAGTCAGGCAATGCAAACGCTACCAGGTAGTCCCCGGTTTGATCGGTGACCTGCGCGTGCCCGCCTGCAGCTATCACAACGTATTGTTTACCTTTGCTTGTATAAGTCATGGGTGAAGCCATACCTGCGCGAGGCAGTTCACCTTGCCAGAGTTCGCGGCCACTCATCAGGTCGATGGCTCTGAATTTGTGTTCCGCGACCGCGCCAATAAAAACAAGTTGACCGGCGGTGATCAGTGGCCCACCCATGCCGGGTACACCCCAGGCAAAATTCGGCACCGCTGCTGGCGCAAGATCCGCAATTGTGCCCAGCGGCATGCTCCAGGCGATCTCACGTTTGCGTAGATCCATAGCAACCAGCTTGCCCCAGGGCGGTTGTGTACAGGGCAAACCCAGGGCGGATAAAAAAGGTGTCCGCTCCATAATATAGGGGGTGCCCTCCATGCGAGCGGCATCGAACCCCTCAGAGCGATTGTTTATATCAAATTCTGCACGCGGTACCAGGCGCACAATGGCTGGTAACTCATTCACGAAGCTGACCGCTAAGCCAGATTCTGCATCAACGCCTACGCCACCCCAGTTCATGCCACCGGCGTAACCTGGATTCATGAGCGTACCGGCCAGACTGGGTGGCGTGAAAATACTCCCAGTACGGTATTGTTCAATGCGTTCTGCACAAGCGCGTTTGTCGAAGAAAGCGACACCAAAAGCGTCATCCGGAGTGATTTCCCGCTGGCTGGCAAGTGGTGGCAGGGTAGAGAAGGGTTGGGTCTCAGACAGTGTTTCGTCTGCAACACCATCAGTGGCGACGGGACGTTCTTCTATCGGAATGAGCGGCACACCTGTACGTCGGTCAAATACGTACAACATGCCTGTCTTTGTGACCTGCAGAAGCGCGGGCACTGAACCTTTGCCAAGGTCGATATCCACCAACACCGGTTGGGCAGGTGTGTCGTAATCCCAGACATCATGATGGACCAGCTGTTGATACCAGACCACTTCGCCGGTTGTGCCGTTTAGCGCGACTACTGAGTTGGTGTACAGGTTATCGCCGGCGCGGTGACCGCCGAAAAAATCCGGGCTGGCCGCTGACGTCGGCACAAATACCAGCTGTCGTTCTACATCTACTGACAGGGGCGCCCAGGCGTTGCCGCCGCCACTGATGTCGGCACTGTTGCCCTGCCAGGTTTGGCGCGCAGGATCTGCAGCTGATCTTGGAATAGGATCCCAGGACCATAGAATCCTGCCGGAAAGAATGTCCAGAGCGCGCACAATGCCGTGTTCACTTTCGACTTTGCGATTATCTCCAATGGCTGAACCGATATAGAGTGTGTTGTTGATGATGGCCGGTGGCGACGTCAGTGTGTATGAACCTTGTTCTACCTCACCGACGCCAACGGTCAGATCAACAAGGCCATCTGTACCAAAATCCTTGCAGGGTTTGCCGGTCAGGGCGTCCAGTGCGTGCAGGTGTCCGCGCAAAGTGCCAAACAGAATGCGATGATTGCAGGCAGCATCGGGTTGGTCACCATGCCACAGGCTCACCCCTCGAGCGGCGGTTTCGTCAAAACGCTCGTTGCGATCGAAGCCTGCATCAAAACGCCAGAGCTCTTCACCGGTTGCTGCGTCCACAGCATAGGCTTTACCAAACGAAGAGTTGAAGAAGAGCGTGTCCTGCCAGAAAACCGGGGTGGCTTCAAAGGTCAGGGCTTGCCCATTTATATAACCTTCGCCGGTTTCGCCGCTCTGATAGACCCAGGCCTGTTCGAGCTGGTCGACGTTGTCGCGGTTTATTTGAGTCAGAGTGCTGTATTTACTGCCGCCAGCGTCGCCACCATAGGCATCCCAGGCGACAGCAGGATTCGTTGCGAGGATTAGGAGCAGGGCACTGTAAAGTGCAAGCTGATTGAACGGCGTTGCTGCGCGCCACGATAATTTCTCAGTGAAAATGGGGCACATGGCTTGCGATCCTCTGGGGGGTTATCCAGAGGAGTCGCAATAAAGGCAAAAAAAGTCTGTCTGGAACCCGTTTTTTTGCGGGTTTCTCACTCTTCTTCTTTAAGGCCCATCAATTGTGCAGGGGTCAGGGACAGTGAGGCGGCGACCTTATTGAAAAAGTCAATCTCGCGGCTGCTCACCCGGCCATCAGCGTTAATCACTTCGGCAAGGGCCTGAGCGATGTCCTGACGGTCGCTGGCGGTCAGCTTTTTGGCAGATGTGGCGATGTATTTGTCCAGCGGCGCGCTTTCGTAAATGCGCGAATTGGCGGCAACACGGACGTCTGCGGCAGGGAAGTCTTCGCCGGTATGGGCGCGCAGAACATCGCGGACTTTTTCAATTTCAATGGCCTTGATGTTGGTATCTGCTGCAGTTGCACGTGCCAACGTCATCAACATGACCTCTTTAGCCAGCTGTGCCTGCTCTTCAGGACTTGGATCGGAGCCCCCAAAAATCTTCAGTACCCCTGCCAAACTCGCGATACTCATACCTGTCTTCCTAGTCGTAATTAGTTTGTTGGTTTTATGGGCCCTATTGTTCCGCGATGTGGGCTGCTGGTCAATGTGGCAATTTTATTGTGGTAAGTTTATGACTTGAACAAATTGTCGAGTTGTTGCCTGGCCTGCTGGCTTTTATCTGCGCCAGATTCAGCCTCACTACCCTCCGGTCCTCTGCCAGCTGCGGGTTCGAAGTATTCACAGAAGTTGGCGATTTCTTTTTCTATGGGGGTTTCAGCTCGATCTTCGAAGCAGCGGGTGGCGTTTGCCGGGTCAAAGTGTTGACACATGCGACAGCAGTGCAGTTCGTAAAAACACTGGTTGCAGGTGGCCTGGCGGCTGAGGGGAAGCGGTTCGTCAGCCAGACTGGCGCCACAATTAAAACAGTGCAAAGCATTCAAAGCGTAATCTCTCCCTGAGCCCAGCTGCGAATCAGGTGATGGGCGATAGCCATTTCCCCGGGAACCCGCAGGCTGTCGTGGTCTTTGTTCACCGCCCGCAGAGCATCTGCGCGGCTGAACCATCGCACATCCGCCATCTCCGCCGGGTCGATCTGAATATTCTGGGTTTCAGCAATACCGTGACAGCCAATCATCAACTGAGAGGGAAACGGCCAGGGTTGCGATGAATGATATTGGACGTCGCCAACGCGGATGCCCGCTTCTTCCCAGACTTCGCGTCTTACCGCGTCCTCCAGGGATTCACCCTGATCCAGAAAGCCTGCCAACGCAGAATAGAACTGAGTATTGGCCATAACGCCCTGAGATTGCCCCAGGAGGCATCGATCGCCAGCGGGTTCATCGATGACCAACATGATCGCAACAGGATCTGTCCGCGGAAACACATGTTTGCCGCAGCCTGAACAGCGTCGGATCTGTCCGCCACGTTCTGCCGCGCTGGGTGCGCCGCACTGGGCACAGAAACCGTTGCGACGGTGCCAATCCAGCTGTGCGCGGGCATGGGCGACAATGCCTGCATCCGGTCCGGGTAGCAGCGCTGCCGCCGCTCGACAGTCGATATACTGCTCGGCATCCGCGGGTGCATCGATGTTGGCGGCAAAATGGGCAACATTGTCGCGTAAGCCCAGCAGAATGGGTTCTGACACGATGTGCTCGGACAGTGCCGCCAGTTCTTCCTGTCGCTGCCAGGCCAGGTTCTGGTTTGCGTCCATCGCCACTTTGAGCTGATGAAAGGTGAGGAACACACTGTCATCGGCATCAACCAGAGCCTTGATGGCCTGTTCATCGCGACGAATCGATTCAGCCCGATCCAGCGGATTGCCTGCAAAAGTGTGCACGTGAGTCGCCATGGCTTGCCTTCGGTAAATGATGCCCACAGTTTAACCGATGCCTGCCGGTCGCACACGGCAGCAGTGTTCAGCTACGCCAATCTGGGATACGCTAAAGACTGCAATGAGGGTAGGGTAAAGGATGCACAATGATTGAAAAAATACCATTTGGCCGCACCGGTCACAGCAGCAGCCGCACGATATTTGGTGCCGCAGCTCTGGGTGCGATGAAGCAGGAGCGCGCAGATGCAACCCTGGCAAAACTGGATCTTTATGGCGTGAATCATATCGATGTGGCGGCAAGTTATGGCGAAGCAGAACTGCGCCTGGCGCCGTTTTTAAAGACACGTCGCGACGACTTTTTTCTTGCCACAAAAACGGGGTTACGCAGCAAAGCCGCGGCAAGAGACCAGTTGCACGCATCACTTGAAAGAATGCAGGTGGCACAGATCGATCTGATCCAGATGCATAACCTTGTTCAGCCTGATCAGTGGGAAGAAGCGATGGGTCCCGGCGGTGCGCTGGAGGCCTTAGTCGAGGCGAAAGAGCAGGGGTTGGTGCGCTTTATCGGCGTGACCGGACATGGCACCTACGCGCCTTTGATGCACGTTCGCAGTCTGCAGGCCTATGACTTCGACTCAATTCTGGTGCCGTATAACTATTCGATGATGAACAATGCGCAATACGCAGCAGACTTTGAAACGCTGTATGCACTTTGTCAGGAGCGCCAGGTGGCGATGCAGACCATCAAGAGTATTGCCCTGCGCCGTTGGCGTGATGACGATCCGGAAAAACACTTTTCCTGGTACCGGCCCATACGAGAACCCGAACCCTTGAAGCGGGCGGTGGATTTTGTCCTGAATCGCGATAACCTGTTTCTGAATACCACCAGCGATGCATCTCTGCTCGATGCTATCTTTGCTGCGGCGCGTGAACCTGTCAGTGCTCCTGACCCAATGGCGCTGGATGCGGACGCCGTGAGTTTAGGGGTGGAGCCACTATTCGTGCGCGACGTATCTGACGATGTACTGTTGAAGGAGGCTTGATCATGACAACACAATGGCAGGTAAAGCGCTTAGCGGGCGCGCTGGGTGCGGAGATAACCGGGGTAAACCTGAGCGCACCGTCCAGTGCCGATATTGAACAGATCAAGGCGCTGCTGCTGGCGCACAAAGTGATTTTTTTCCCGGGACAGAAAGTCAGCCTGGAAGAACACGTGGCGCTGGGTGAGTTTTTTGGTCAGATTGAAGATCACCCTAACCTGAAAAACCCGTACACCAATCATCCCGGTGTGTTTGAACTGGCGGCGACCCATGGCGGGATTGCTGACGAATGGCACACAGACATCACCTTTGAGACGCACCCATCGATGATGTCGGTTCTGCACATGGTTAAATGCCCGGAAGTGGGTGGTGACACCATGTGGAGTTCACTGGAACAGGCGTTTAATGAGCTGTCTCCACCTATGCAGTCATTGTGTGAATCACTGACGGCTCTACATGATGCGTTGCCGCACAATCGTCCTGACAAAATGGCCATACATCCGGTGGTTCGGGTGCACCCGGAAACCGGCAACAAGGCGTTATACGTTAATGAACACTTCACCCGGCGTCTGGTGGAAGTGAATGCGACTGAAAGTGAAACATTGCTGACCTATCTGACAAACTGGGTGAAAAACCCGCGATTCACCGTCCGTTATCAATGGTCCGAAGGCACCATCGCCATGTGGGACAATCGCTGCACCCAGCACTTTGTGCTCAACGATTTTGAGGGTGAACGTATTATTCAGCGGGTAACCGTGATGGGTGATAACGTTGAAGCGGCAAGTCCGCCCGGATGGGCACCCTATGTGAGACCGGGTCCATTGTCAGCGATGAGCCGGCATGACCGACAGCTCTCGCTGTATCTCAAATCCAGACAGGAAGCGAAAGAGGCCTGATCCTGACCACCGATCTATGGTTGGACGATATTCACAACCTGCACTTTCTGCTCAGGTGTCAGCGTCACGTTGAGTGAGCCTGAGCGAAAGCCGCCAAGATCCAGCGCCACAAAATGATAGCCCGCGGCCTGGATTCTGGTTTGTAGCTGGTCCTGGAGTTCGATAGCCTTTGTCATTTCCGCTGCCGGTATTTCCAGGCGAGCGACGTCGCCATGGTGACGGACGCGAAACTGGGTGAAACCCAGTTCTGCCAGAACGTCCTCTGCGGCCTCTACCTGAGCCAGCAACGCCTGGGTGATGTGAGTACCGTAAGGGAAACGACTGGACAGACATGCCGCCTGAGGTTTCTCCGCGTTCTCGAGCCCAAGCGCGTTTGCTAAAGCGCGTATGTCTGCTTTGTGAAACCCGGTTTCCACCAGGGGTGAGCGCACTTCAAAGTTATCGGCTGCGACGAGACCCGGGCGATGGTCGCCAAGATCATCAAGATTGGTACCGTTCAGAACCGTTTCGATGCCGCCATCTTTCGCCATTTCATCCAGATATGTGTACAGCGAGGTCTTGCAGTGAAAACAACGGTTGGTCGGGTTGGCGCGGTATTCGGGTTTTGACAACTCGTCGGTCACAATGACCTCGTGCTGAATACCCCAGTCTTCCGCAAGCTTTTCCGCCAGGGCCAGATCCGCACGCTTCAGGCTTGCGGACGCGGACGTCACCGCGCGTGCTTTTTTCCCCAGAACCTGCCCGGCAACGTAGGCGACTAATGAGCTGTCAATGCCGCCAGAGAAAGCCACAATAACGCTGTCGTACTGCGCCAGATGGTCCTTCAGGGCCTGGTATTTCTGTTCTATATCTGCGTGCATGAGCTAAACCTACAAACGATTGATGGTGTTGGCAAGGAAGCCGGCGCCAAAACCGTTGTTGATGTTCACCACGGATACACCCGATGCACAGCTGGTTAACATCCCGAGCATAGCGGCGACACCCTCAAACGCAGCGCCGTAGCCGACACTGGTGGGTACCGCGATCACCGGTTTATCCACTAAACCGCCGACAACGCTGGGCAGCGCGCCTTCCATACCCGCAACCACAACCAGTACACGTGCGCTACGTAAGTCGTCCAGGCGTGACAGGATGCGGTGCAAACCTGCCACACCGACATCGTTGATCCGTAGTACGGTATTGCCAAAAAATTCCGCGGTCAGCGCTGCCTCTTCGGCCACGCTGATATCAGAGGTGCCCGCTGTGACAACAGCGATGGTGTGGGGTGGGGTATCGGGTACTTTGGTGACCCAGCTCAACAGCGCTGAATCCGGGTGATACTTCACATCATCGGGCAGGCCGGTTAAAGCTGCATATTTTTCAGGCTCAACCCGGGTAACAAGGACGTTGCATTCACGTTCCACCAGATGCCCAACAATGTCAGATATCTGTTCCGGGCTTTTACCGGAACCAAATACCACTTCACCGGCGCCGGTACGTCTCTGACGATCATGATCGACAAGGGTGTGGCCAATGTCTTCAAAGTAGTGACTGCGTACCCGGGTTAAGGCGTCGTCCAGCTCAAGTTCGCCGTCTTTAAAAGCCTGTAATACATCTTCCAGTGCCAATGCCTGAATACTCCTTAAGTCAGGTGTTCACCCGGACGCAAGCCAAGCATGCGATGGGTTGGTGCGCACAGTTTGTCAATTTCGATACCGTTGGGGCAGGCATCCTGGCAGGGTTCGCCGGAACAGCTCAGGCAGGCGCTGGCGTTGCTGTCTAATAGAGCGTATTCACGCCGAGCGAAGTTGACGTCTTCATAGTCTGTTGCGTACATGCGCGTGCGCAGCACGTCGGCAATCGGTACGCCGTAGGGGCAGGCGCCTTCGCACAGGTTGCAGGCATGTCGACAATAGTTGTTGCCGTTTAAATGCGCATACTGATCAAGCAGTTGACGTGCCTGGGCAGTGACAAACGATGCGCCAGAGGCGCCGAGATATTCGTCGATCTGATCTTTACCGGTCATCGAAATGATCAGCGCATCGACGTTCGGATTCGCCAGTGCCCAACTGAACGCAGCCTGGGCAAAAGTTTCTGCGCCGGCTTGTTCATAAGGTCGCATGTCGTTCAGGCGCGCGCCCATCAATGTTTTCATCGCGATGACGCCGATGTCTTTTTCTTTTGCTTTGCTGATGGCTCGCGGCAGATCAGGTTGGGTTGCAATGCGGTCAAAACCGCGGGTTAAGCCCTCGTAAAACGCCGGGTCCTGGCCAAAGTTATAACCCACCAGCATGACGTCGATCATGTCTTCGTCTATCGCGTAGTCGAGGCACTCAATCAGCCGTCCGGCATGGCCGGAGATACCCGTGAAACGAATTTTCCCCTGTGTTTTGGCCTGATCCACAAACGCCAGCCACTCGGGATTGCCAACGCTGTCAACACTGTTAACCGCGTGATTCATGTACACATCTACATAATCGGTTTGTAGTCGGCGCAGTGACCCTTCCAGATCGTGCATCATGGTCGCTGCGCTGGTGCTGCTGCTGGTCAGCGTTTTTGAAACCAGATATACCTTATCGCGACGGCCTTTGATGGCGTTGCCGATCACTGTTTCGGATTCACCGCCGGTATAGCTTTCCGCGCTGTCAAAATAGTTAACACCACGATCAATGGCATGATGCACCAGTGCTTCTTCACCGGTACGCAATCGCGATGAGCCAAATGAAATGTCAGATATTTTTAATTCTGTGCGACCCAGGCGCCGATAGGCCTGCACACCCCGGGTATTGCTCGCTGGTGTGGGAGCCGATTGAGCAGCGCCGGGCAATAACGTGCCAGCACCTGCCAGAGCACTGGTTTTGATGAACGATCGTCGGTCTTTATTTATCATGCAGCTCTCCAATTGAGGCGGTGTTAAATGGCTTCGAACAATCCAGCAGCACCCATGCCTTTGCCGATACACATCGACACGATGCCGTACTTTTTGTTTTGCCGTTTCAGAGTCCTGAGCAGCGAGCCGGTTAAGCGGGTGCCGGTCATTCCAAACGGATGGCCTATGGCAATAGAACCGCCGTTGACATTGTAGATGTCGTTATCAATATTCAGTTGATCCCGACAGTACAGGCACTGGCTGGCAAAGGCTTCATTAAGCTCTACCAGATCAATGTCGTCCATAGTCAGGCCAGCATAGTCTAACAATTTGGGTATAGCGAAAACCGGTCCAATACCCATTTCGTCCGGTTCACAGCCGGCTACCGTAAAGCCGCGGAAATAACCCATTGGTGTCAATCCCAGTTCAATAGCTTTGGCTTCTGTCATCAGCAGGGTCATGGCGGCGCCATCTGACAGTTGTGATGCGTTGCCTGCGGTGACAGATCCGCCTTCTTCGAATGCTGGGGCGAGCTGGCTGAGACCGTCGAGGGTCGTGTTAGGGCGATTGCATTCGTCCCGATCCACCACGCCGGTAACGATTTCCGTTTCTTTGCTCTGCTTGTCGATAATTTTGCGCCACTGCACCTGCATGGGGGCTATTTCGTCACTGATGTAACCGGCCTCATCCGCTGCCGCGTAACGCTGCTGGCTCTGCAGCGCATAAGCGTCCTGGGATTCCCGCGTGACCTGGTAGCGTCGTGCAACCACCTCAGCGGTATTGCCCATGGCCATGTACATGTCCGGCATCTGCTCGGTCAGTGTCGGGTTTTCGGCAAACTTAGCTTCCGTACCGCGGCTCAAGCCGGTGATGGATTCAACACCGCCGGCCATCATGATTTCTGCAAAACCGGAATTGATCTGGCTGGCGGCAAAAGCGATGGAGTTCAAGCCCGAGGAGCACGCTCGGCTGATGGTGGTGGCCGGTACTGTGATCGGCAGGTTGGACAGCGCCACCGCATGGCGCGCAACGTTTGCAGACTGTTCGCCCACCTGTCGCCCGCAGCCCAGAATGACATCTTCCACCAGCGCCGGGTCCAGACTTGGGTTTCGGTCCAGCAGGGCGTTGATGCAATGTGCAACCAGATCATCGGAGCGGGACATATTGAATGTGCCGCGATGTGCTTTTGCGAGACCGGTCCGAATGCAGTCAACTACAACAATGTTGTTCATAACAGTTCCTTTTAGCGGTTGCCTCAGTTGTCCTGGTTGTTGCCCATGCCGATGATGCCATCTGCGGTCATGCTGTCGATAGCGTTGTCATCAAAACCAGCCTGGCTGAGAATCTGTCGGGTATGCTCACCCAGTTCCGGTGCCGGTCCCTGAGGTTTAACATCTGCGTTGGCAAAACGCATGGGGATATTCACAGTGCGATACGTGCCGATGTCTTCGTGTTCGACCTGAGGAAACATGCCCAGTTCAATTGCATGAGGGTCTTGTGGGACTTCGTGTAAGGCCAATACCGGTCCCCAGATAAGGCCCGCTTTGTCAAAGATTTCACCCCATTCGTCGCGGCTGCGTTTGGCCAGGGCGGCATCCACCAGGTCAATGAGCGCGGTCATGTTACGGTAACGCGAGCGAGAATCGACAAAACGTTCGTCGTCGATCAATTCTTCAATTTCTATGGCCTGACACATTCGTGACCAGAACGCGGAATCTGGCATCATATTGAATACCACCCATTTACCATCGCCACAGGGGAATCGATTGGCTGTGATGGCAAGCATCTCTTTACGTGCTCGACGACGCACCGGTGCATGGTCGATAGCGGTGACAGCGTAGTCGGTTGCCTGGGTCCACACTGCGGTTTCATACAGCGATGTTTCTACCACCTGGCCTTCGCCACTGCGCTCTGCCAGGCGCAGAGCGGCCAGAATAGAGGCGACCATGGCCAGGCCGGTAGTGTGGTCACCCTGAGCAGGGCGGGCCATAGGCACAACGCCCGCATCCCCTTCACGTTGCGCATCGTATAAACCAGAACGCCCGAAAAAAGCGGTTACATCGTAACCCGGTCGCCAGGCATCAGGTCCTGTGGTGCCATAGCCGGTAAGCGTGGCGTGGACCAGGTTGGGTTTGACCGCAAGCAGTGATGCCGGATCCAGACCAAATTTTTCCTGGCGCTTGACCAGCAGGTTGCACATGAAAATATCGGCACCAGCCACCAGCTTCCTTACCAGTTCAGCCCCTTCCGGCTGGTCCAGAGCAACCGCGATGGAGCGCTTGCCACGATTATCGACGTCGAAACCGAAGTCGTAGGCTTTGATCGCGTCGCTGGCGTCATCCTGTTTGATGGGGCGGGATAATCCCCGCATTGGATCGCCGGTGAGTGGCTCAACCTTGATTACGTTGGCGCCCAGGTCCGCCAGAATCGCACCAGCGCTGGGTGCTGCCATGTAGCTGTCGACCTCGATCACGGTAATGTCTTGCAAAGGTGCGGTCATTTTACTCCCTAATAGATTCTGTTTTTAGTTAACGCGGGACATCAAGTACTTTCAGCATGCGTTGTAGCGCAAAGTGTCGGTAACTCTGGTCAATTAAGCTTGCTGCTTCACCGGCCATCAGCCCTTCTTCAATATCCAGGTTCAGCCATCCATTGTGCCCGGTATAGGGTGGTATTTGGTAGCGTTTGTCGAAGGTCAGGCTGGCTTGTGCATCGCTGCCAGCCCAGATGGACAACTGTAAACGTCCCTTGTGCATATAAACCGTGCAGAAATTCTTTTTACCGGCGCGAAAGCAGGGGTTGCCGAATTGGCGATCCTGGCTGGTTTCAGGCAGTGCAAGGCACAGGTTGGCAATCTGCTGCAGTAACAGTTTGCGGTGCGGTGCGACCAGCGGGTCGAATTCGATCGGATCAATGGTCCCGGTTGGCGGTTCAAGATCCGGGCCCTGAGGTAATTTTGCGCTGACTGAGCGCGGCGCGACATGGACATAGGCCTGACGCACCAGATCTGCGATTCTGCCCCAGTCCATCCCTTTGTCCAGATCGACGCCCAGCCAGCCTTTAGGTCCAACGTATGCAGGCACGTAGAAAAACTCGGGTTCAGCGTCGACGTATAGAGACTGGGCGCCTGCAGGCATCTTCAGCCACAACGCCAGGTGACCGTCGCCGTGGTGGTTGATCACGTAGGTGGCAAACGTTTTACCGGCCACGCGGAAGTCTGGTGAGCCATGACTGATGACCCGCTGTGTTTGCGGGAACCAGAGGCAGAGTTCATTTACCGCTGCGGTAATGTCTTTGTCTTTTTGTCTAGTTTTTCGCGTCGCCATTTGTCTCCCCTCAGACGCTTGCTGCATCTACCGCCCGGCAATACATCAAGTGATGGTAGAATAACGGTTTTATCTTCCCAGCTGGAGTTTGTCTTGAGCGCAGTCATGTGCAACGGCGTAGTGCTGTTCGCTGAATTTATTGTTGCCGCTGCCTGTGTCTGACCCAGAAGCCAGAGGCTCGACCGTTGCGGGTGCAAAAAAGATCTTCATGGGCTGGCGTATGGTGGGGGCTGCATTTTTTGTGGATTTTGTCGCCGTTGGCTTTTTCTTCTATTCCTACGGCGTGTTTTTTAAGGCCATTGCCGCTGAGTTTGGTGATTCCCGACTGGGTGTTGCGCTGGGACTCACCGTCACCAATGCAGTCGGCGCGATAGCGGCACCACTGGTCGGCAGAGCCTTGGATCACTTTCCTCTGAAGCGCGTGATTGGTGTTGGTGCAACCTCCATGGCGATAGGTTTTCTGGGTCTCAGTCAGGTGCAGACGCAGATGCAGTTTTATCTGGTCCTGGGTTTGTTTATCGGCTTCGGCGCATCTTCGATGGGTAATCTTGCGACCAGCAAACTGGTGGCAAACTGGTTTGATCGGAAACGCGGCATGGCATTGGGCATGGCCGCCACCGGTGTTTCTCTGTCAGGTGTGGTGATGCCCTACATCAGCGCCGAAATCATCGCTGGATATGGCTGGCGTAACGGCTTTCTGGTCTATGGCCTGTTTACCTTCATGGTAGTAGTGCCCTTTGTTCTGAGTGTGGTGGTGTCGAAACCCGAAGATGTTGGTCTGCAACCGGATGGCGCGTTGCAACTCCCACCCACCGATGTCCAGGCGAAGGCAGCGCCTGCACCCCGATTGTCTATGCACCAGGTCTGGCGTGATCATAATTTCTGGGTCATCGTCTTAACGTTTTCGCTTATTTTCTGCTGCATGAGCACAACTCTGACACATATGGTGCCCAGGCTCACAGACATGGGCCACGAGTTGAGTCTGGCCTCGCTGGTGATGTCGTTGTGTGCCGGTCTGGGTATCTTCGGCAAGCTCAGTTTCGGCTGGCTGGGTGATAAGTTGCCCATGCGCAGAGTACTGCTGTTGGTGATCCTGGTGCAGTTCAGCGGGCAATTGCTCATGTACCAGAGCGAAGCATTGTTCTGGTTTGCTGTCGGAGCTGCTCTGTTTGGTTATGGGGTTGGTGGGGTAGTGCCATTGCATGGCGCAATTGTAGGCAAGACTTTTGGACGTGAACGCTTTGGCGCGGTGTTGGGCCTGATGCGGCCGGCAATGTTCCCGATACAGATCCTCGGCGTACCCTTTGCTGGTTGGGTGTACGACACCACGGGTTCTTACGCCCAGGCGTTTCAGGCACTGCTTTTTCTGTACGGTTTTGCTGCCTGTGCGGTGGCGTTTTATCGCGCGCCGCAGCCCAGTACTGTTTAATCGGGCAGGCCGAGTACCCGTTTTGCAATAATGTTCAGCTGCACTTCTTTTGTGCCGCCGGCGATGGTCAAAGACTTCTGGTACAACCACTGCTTCAGGCGCGCCAGTTCCTTAGGGTCAGCGTTGTCACCATCCCACCGCAATCCCTGAGTACCCATGGCGGCCACTGCCAGTTCGTCACCATCCTGAATGTTAAGCGCGTTGCTGAGTTTTACCGCTGATGAGGTGAATCCAGGGGCGTGAGATTGTGACTCTTCAATTGCTCTGCGTTGGGTGATTTGTTGTGCCTTCGTATTCATCTCATATCGCGTCAGCCAGGCACGCAGGGCGTCGTCGTTCAGCCTGCCGTTTTCCGGACCGACATAGTTGCGTACCAGGCCGGGCATCCGGCTTTCTTCCACGCGACCACCCTGGGAGCCGGAAATGTTAATGCCTGCATGGGTGGAGCGTTCGAATTGCAGCAGGCGTTTGCCCACGGTCCAGCCATTGTCGACGCCACCAATCAGATCTTCAGCAGGCACAACGGCATTATCAAAATAGGTTTCACAGAAGGGTGATGCGCCAGAGATCAAGGCAATAGGTGAGACCTGCACTCCAGGTTGGCTCATGTCGATAAGTACCAGTGAAATACCTTCGTGTTTGGGTTTGTCTGGTGAGGTGCGTACCAGTGCAAAAATAAAATCACATTCGGTGGCATCACTGGTCCATATTTTTGCGCCGTTAATCAGATAGTGATCGCCGTTGCGTTCGGCTCGCGTACTGAGGCTGGCGAGATCAGAGCCTGCGCCAGGCTCGGAATAGCCCATCGCCCACGCGCCTTCACCGCGAGCACAGCGCGGCAGCCATTTCTGTTTCTGCGCATCTGTGCCAAATTCCAGGATGGTTGGGCCTATGTAGTTGACCCCGCGGCCGGTCAGCGGCGTGCGCGCACCAACGGCTTTCAGTTCTTCGATAAGTACCTGATATTGTTTGCGATCGAGTTCCGCGCCGCCATAAGCCTTGGGCCAGGTGGGCACGGTCCAGCCTTTTTCCGCCATACGTTCAAGCCAGAGTCGGGTATCCGTATCCAGTTCGATGTGACTGCTGCCAATCGGTATATAGCCGGGACCTTTGGCGCCATCCGGGCAATTTTTCGCCAGCCAGTCTCGTGTCTCCAAACGGAATTCGTTTAAATCTTGCAAAAAGTTTCTCCACACAATCGGCGTATTCTCAGACGTCGCAGATACATTAATAAAAGCGCGCTTTTAACAGCTGCAGCTGGGTTTCACCGCGGCTCTGACAGCGAATATTAACTGCTTCTGTCAGTATCTGATCGGCAATATAGGGCTCAAAGCTGCTGCGGCTGAAGGGCGCGATGTCCTGCATTTCTATTTCAACAGAATAGCCCTCAACCACCGGCAGGATAGTGATGGCACTGTGACTGGGCAGCAGTTCTTCCAGCTCAATTTTGAGTGCGCGTTGAGATTCACGGTCTGGAGACACACCTTTGACCAGGTATTTAAGAACGCACTCTATAGATTCTTCAGTCAACAGCTTCATCCAGGCGGTAGGCGATAAGATAATCACCCGACGGCGCTGGAGAAGTAAAGTGACCACCGGCCGCAATCACTACATATTGCTGATTGTTATACAAATAACTCATTGGCACGGCATTGCCGGTTGTCGGTAACTTGTCACGCCACAGCTCGGTGCCATCATTGATATCAAATGCGCGGAAGTAACTGTCCGAGGTGGCGGCGATAAAAATAAGACCGCTGGCGGTAATCATCGGACCGCCCATCTCTATGGCGCTGCCAAAGAAATGGTGGACAGGCCAGGGTGCCAGATTCTCCAGCGTCCCCAGCGGCTGTTGCCACAGGATATCGCCACTTTCCAGATCCACCGCCGCAAGCGTAGCCCAGGGGGGCTTGGTGCAGGGCGCACCCAGCGGCGAGGTCAGAGGTTCCATTATCACGCAGTAATCGGAGCCTATTTGCGGAAAGGGTAAGCCTTGGGGGCAGTCTGCCTGTTTCGCCAGGCGCACAGCGATAGGGATGTGTTTGGTGTTCGCCACCATGATTTTTCTTTTCGGATCAACTGCGGGTGCGCCCCAGTTGTTGCCGCCGAGATTAGAGGGATAGAACACGGTGCCGGCAAGACTGGGGGGCGTGTAAATAGGTCCGGTTGTCATTTCCCGCAGCTTCTTGCGGCAGGCGCGGCGGTCCCAGAAGGTTATACCCCATGCGTCCTCCGGGGAGATGCCCAGCTGATGTAAGGGTTCGGGCTTGAGCGGAAAAGGTTGTGTGGGACTCAGGTACTCACCGGGCACCGCGCCGGTCTGGGGCACCTCGCGTTCCTCTACAGGGTGTAATGGCAAGCCCGTTTCCCGGTCGAGCACAAAGGTCATGCCCATCTTTGTCACCTGGACAACAGCTGGGCGGGTTTTGCCGTCAATGCTTAAATCCACCAGCGTCGGCTGTGCGGGTACATCAAAGTCCCAGATATCGTGATGCACGGTTTGATAGTGCCAGGCGACGCTGCCGTCGGCTGCGTTTAACGCCACAACGGAACTGGAGTAGTAATCTAGGTGGCCGTCGCGGGCGCCGCCATAGTAGTCCGGGGAAGAGTTACCGGTGGGTACAATGACAAGTCCCCGCGCTTCATCAACTGAAATTGTCGACCACACATTGGTGGAGCCCGGTACAAAATTACCGTCTTTATCCGTTTGCGGGCGGTCGGGATGCACCGGGTTCCAGCCCCATAAAAACTCGCCACTTCTGACGTTGTAGGCCCGCACAACACCTGAAGGGATATCGGGGCGGCGGCTATCCTGTACAAATGCACCTGTGATCACCGTATCGCCGATAATTGCCGGGGCACTGGTAATGCCGTATTCAAAGGCTTCGTGTTCGGTTAATCCTTCGTTGAGGCTGACTTCACCATTACGGCCGAAGTCCTGGCAGCGTTCCCCGGTCTTTCCATCCAACACGATCAGACGCGCATCCAGGGTGCCGAGAATAATACGTTGCGCACACACCGCTGTTTTATGGTCGTCTGCTCGCCAGCTGCTGACTGCACGACAATTTGTGATGCCTTCCTTGGACATGTCGACCTCGGGGTCAAACGACCAGCGTTCGCCGCCGGTGGCAGGGTCCAGTGCAAAAACACGGTTGAAAGGCGTGCAGTAATACAGGGTGTCATCCACCATGATTGGCGTGACCATGAAGTTGGTCGGGCGGGTCCGCATGGATTCTGCTGACGTGTCTTCGGTTAAAGACTGGGTGCCAGCCACATAGTCTCCGGAGCGATGTGTCCAGGCTTTTGTCAGGCCAGCAACATTGTCGGGTGTGATGTGGGTGGCGTTAGTGTGGTGGCCACCGCCAGCGGCACCACCGTAAGCCGGCCACTCGATGTTCTCAGGTGATTCTGCTGCGGCAGCCAGTGGCGTGATCAATATTACAGCCGCGAGAAATCGGGCTGCCGAACACGGCAATTTGTTCTCTCTCATACTCCCCCCGGAGCCTCCCCAAGTTGCAGCATTAAACAACTACCTTGATATACTCGCAATGACCGTCATCTTTACCTGGCTTGC